GCATGCTAGTGATTTCTTCTCGCTTGTGACCTGTTTCACTGGCTCTATATAAGTACCTGCTCCTCTCTCGCAAAGACATTCACAGTTATCCCTCCACTGTAAGATATAAAGTGAGGGAATTTATCAGTCTTTCATCTTTGTTTTACCAGAGGTGACAAATTAAATTAATATGTTCTATTAATTTAAAAAAATATATATTTTTAAAAAATAAATTTTTGAAAAATATATTTTTTAAAAATAAATTTTAATTAATAATTAAAAAAAACCAATTTTTAAAACCTTGGTTTTTTGTTGGCTGCCAATAAAAAATCAAGCTTTTGAAAATCGATTTTGTTTCCTTGGCAATTCCTTGGCAACTAATATTGGCCCGATGCTTGGCTACCGATCATTGGCAGTAGCGTGATCATCCCAAGTTTAAACCATTGGTGGTCCAATGATGGTTGCCAATTGTTTTGCCAAGAAAAAACCATTGGGCACCAAGCATGGCCCATTATTGAACCAATCGTTAACATTGGCAACTTCCCGTTGGGCAGTAACCTGCGCAGAAAATAATTTTTCTAATACAGTTATCTCTTAAGTCATTGTGTTTTTATTGTTTAAGATGAAAAAAGACTGTACAAGTTCAAGTTTAATAACAATTTAATAAATATAAGCTAAGATTGTAAGATTGTACCGTTTCATTAATAAAATTACAAAAAAAACTGATTTTTTACTCTAAACATCTACAAGTAACTAAGTATCTTCGAACAAGTAAAATGAAATATAATTAATGATTAAACGAACTTACAAGTGAAGTTCGATCATAATTATATGAATTACTTGTTCGAAGATACTATTTCCCACCAAAAAAAAAAAAAAAATTAAATTAAAATTAATAAAAGATAATAAATAATGATTTATAAACCCGAACCCCTTTTTAAATTATAACACTCTAAACTAAATGAAGTAGAGAGTAACAGCAAGGGGAAAGAATAGAAGGAGAAAAGAGAGCGTCCGATTTTTCTCTTTCTATCACTAAAAATTGGCGTCACCTGCACGGAAAAAAAAGTTCACGAATCTCTCGTGAACTAGTATAGCACTTTTGGATGGGACACAAAATTCTTGAAAATCAACAAACACAGTTCGTCAAAATTTCATCAACTCCTTCACTAGAAACATAGTACGGTTTCCGAACTTTTCGTCAAAGTTAACGAAAAATTCGTGAACTTTTAAAAAATGCTAAAAACAAGAAAAAATAATTTCGAGACACTACTTTTTTATAGTATTTCACTTTATTTGATAACTTGACGCCTATTACGCACCCAACTACACAGAATACACAATTTTATCGCCATTAAAATTCGTAATTCGCTTCACGGGATTCGAACCTAGTACCTATACCCTATAACATAATATTTCTAACAACTAACCGCCACGGCTAAATCTAGATACACTGTCCTTCGACAAACGAAACGATTAGCTTTGTCTGCTGTAAAACTCAGGACCGTGCAAAGTAGAAAAAGTCCCTTATCGTAACTTTTAATTCATTTTATGAATTATTTGTTTCACAAAGGAAATTAGCAAACAAAAATATTCACTAAGTAATAAAAAACACTGATTCTAAATAATAACTTTCATCAAAGAATTTTCCCGAATGTAAACACCGATGACACCGACTGAATGATGAATGCTTGATCAGCCATATTTGATGCGCATTACGAACTGCGCATACTACTGACACTCGCGAGTTCACGATTTTTTCGTGAACTTGTACCTCTACTTTTGACGAACTACTCTTCATTAACAGTTCATCAAAAATTCATTAACTTTGTTTCAGTTTTTCGTTGACGTTCGCCATTTCTAATCAAAAGTGAATGAAAATTTTGAAATTTTGTGTCCCATCCAAAAGTGATATACTAGTTCACGAGAGATTCGTGAACTTTTTTTTCCGTGTGGCAACAAGTTGCGGTACTACAAGTAACTAAGTATCTTCGAACAAGTAATTCATATAATTATGATCGAACTTCACTTGTAAGTTCGTTTAATCATTAATTCTACTGTAATTTTTATGCGTAAAATACGTAAAATACTCATGTAATTTACGTGACGTATATTACGTACCCATCACTGCCTGCGGGCCGTGCGCGCACAGACGTAAGAGGGAAACTAATGTATTGCGGACATATTGGTCGATGAAAATAATTCAGGGCTGTGATTGGTTAACATTTAAATCGTAGGGGCCATACTTAAATTAAGTAACGCTTCAGGTGGTAGGGGGGGGGGGTCAAGATATTCGTTACACTCAGCATAAAAATGGCGCAAATGTATTTAAAAGTTTGTTACATTCTCACTGACACATTTATTTTACACAGAAAATAAAAAGTGTTATTTTAACACCGAATTTGGTGTTAAAATAACACGCAACAAATTTAACCGTCATAGATGGCGCCACATTCTATGTCGTTTAACATTGGTTAATTTAAAACGCAACAAAAATCACACCAACTTTTTTCTAGTGTATATAGTTTTCCAAAGAATGAACTTATAGAAGAAAGCAATAGGCAGTTGCATTGTATATTGGCAGAAAATATTTGTCAATTTATGTTTAACGATGTTGAAAGGCCTGCGAAATTTCTACACGGAAAAAGTATCGGCACGTTAGATGTACAGGTTGTGTCAAATTTTCTTCTACATTTATTTTGCACGCCATCTGTGCCAGTTTGGCGTATCTGACGTGCATTATGTACGTCTGATATCTCGAAATGGCACCTTAGACGTGCAAAATAAAATGTACTGCTGTTGACACTGTCCTCGGCGCATCTAATGTCCCAGAATTTTTTCCGTGTAGGTTTCGTGAGATCTCTGATTATCGCCCAACAAAACCAGCACTCGCTGGTTTAAATGTCGTGAAATAGGTAAACAAACATTTTTCAACCACTTTTTATCTAAACACAGACACTTTTTACAAAATATGCCAACGTACAACGGGTAATTATATTCTAAATTACAATAATCGAAAATATTGTTTAAATTCATGCAGAAACGCGGTTGTAAAATGTCAAATTGGAAAGTAATGTACATGGAGAGAGAATATATATTAAATTTTGTAAAAGTATTTTACAATTTGGGGAAAAAGTGCGACAATGCGAAATTTTGGTACAAAAAATACTGAAATTTAGAAAAACTTATGTGAAATTTAGTATAATTATATCAAATATCAAGAATATTAATTAAATTCTAATAAAACTTTACTATATTTCACATAAGTTTTTTTTAAAGTTTAGTATTTTTTATAATAAAATTTCGCTTTGCCGCACTTATTTTCCCCAATTTGTAAAATACTTTTACAAAATTTAATATATATATTTTCTCTCCGTGTAATAACAAACAGCAACAAGCAGTTTACTGCCAGTCGCCAGAAGAGGGCAGAAGCATTCAGCGAGCACAATAGACCAGCTGTCATATTCTTATAGCATTACATCACTTTCCAATTTTATATTTCACAACCGCGTTTCTGCATGAATTTAAACAATTTTTTGGATTATTGTATTTTAGGAGATACTTAACCGTTGTTTCTGTGTTTAGAGAAAAAGTGGTTGAAAAATTTTGGTTTACGTATTTCACGTTATTTATAAACCGATTTTAAAATTAAAAAATGAACTTTTAATTTTAAAAACAAATTTGATTATATTTTAAATAAATATTACAACACAAAAGAGAAATAAATTCGAAAAAACTCTTTTATTTGTGCAGAAAAGTTAAAATGAAAACTGTATTTTTGGTTATATTTTCTTCGGGAGTATTTTTTTCGTCCCAAATCTTGATTGTTTTTTTTCGTAACACCCATCAATTTTTTTATGTATTAATTATGTTATAATGCAAAAATGACATAAAAGGTAAGAATAATGTTGTTGCTATTTCGTTTAAACTAACCGCTTTACTCAATAACCAATCAGCAAATCAATTAATCATAGACCAGAAAACGTTCCCCGACAAATATTGTCCGACTGACACCTCTTTTCTCTTCAGATAGTTTATCCCCCTCACCAACATTTGTAAGAGAGTACTCCGTCCATATATTCTTAGGAGCCGTCCATAAATTACGTAAGACATTTAGGGGGAGGGGGGGGGGTCATCAAGATCTTACAAACAATAGGAAAAATGGCGCTAATGTGTGTAAAATATCTTACGAGGGGGGAAGGGGGGTCAAATTTACCCAAAAAATGTCTTACGTAATTTATGGACAGCCCCTTACGTCCATGGTGCGTGCAGTTGTGTAATTTTGCGTACACAATCTTTCTGAGTATACTACAGTTGTTTGGAAATATTGTACGATAGTAAGATACTTTACTAATTTAGTGAACATTTGTTGGATTAGTGCAGAAAATAGTAAATAATACAAAAAGCCCCTTATTTTCGGACATTGCAAAATGAAAATAGTAAATTCTAGCGTGATTTTATACAAAAATTACAACGCTCGGGCTCTCCGTGTATGTTTGGAATAACACTTAAGTTGAATGGTATACTCATTTTTGAACAAATATTAAACACATTAAATGTCTTAATTTAATTTTTCAATGAAAAGTTAATTACTGTCAAATGAGACGCAATAAGTAACAGGACTTTAAATTATGTTTCTGAATTTTTATTAATGACTAATTGGCCCATTTGTTGGTACTATATACTTTTAAGATAATGATTAGAAAGAGAATTTTCAAAATAATTTAAAATGAATTAATGTATGTATAGTTAATTTTTAAAACGCAAAATTTTAACGCAGAAACAATAATAAAATAATTTACGGAAAAAGAGTAAATGTTAACATGTAATATAGGTATAGAGAATGGTCTATGTCAGGAATAAAAAATTTGTTCTCTTAGAGAGAAAACAAACTTATTTTTCATGAAATTATGAAGTGACATAACTTTAGTTTAAATAAATAATATGGTTTAAAGCAATCTTATTTATAAATGACATGTTGATTAAAACATAATTTTGTAATGTATATTTAGAAAACGTACTTGAATCCAAAGGATTTATAAGACCTGCACTGTTCCAATCGAATTGAGCTGCTGGTACTTCCTGTTAAAGAAAAAGGCTTATATGATATTTATGAAATAAGCATTAAACTACGTTGATTAAAATAATAGTTTTCTTATGGTCAATGTCCATGTTTGGGCAATGTTGTAAACCATGTTATTCACTACTAAAAATTAATAAAAGAAAAAGTTATTTATTTATTTTTACTCGACAAACTGCTGTAAAATTTCGAGTTGCGTTTCTTATTATTTTTAGAACATTTCAATTTGTTCTGGTTATATTATTATATTATTAAATTTTCAAAAGTCCTATTTTTAAAATTTTTAGACTTTTAAAAGTATAACATGTATCTCCGACTAACATGAACGAAAAATATTCAATAAGAGATGAAAAATGCGTCAAAAAAACACTACAAAATAAAAGAAAAACATTTAGAGGTGTCCTAACAATTTTTTAAAAGTTATGGTAAAATCGTTTTTTGGCAAAATTAAAAATGCAAAAAAAATATAGTTGAGCTTTATGAAATGGACTGAAAATACTATCATTTCATATCCCCCGGGGAGGCCTAAAATTTAAAAAAAATTGAAGCCTATAGTTCTTTCAGTTTTTACGATATTGAAGTTAATGTAATATTAGTAGGAGAGACCAGGGTAAATCCGGTCACTTTTGGTCAGATAGGTAAAAATCTAGAAAATTATTCTCTAAATACCCTGTGACCGACTTTTCCCCGGTCTCCCCTACAAACACCCATTTTTCAAAACCATCTTTTTTGGACTCCTGAGGCCAAATTACATCGAAATATGTCAAAAAATCACAATCGAAAATGGTCACTAATAAAGTTCTTCCTCCATGAGGAAGCAATTCATAATTAAAAAACCGCTGCCAAGTTGTATATTTTTTTTATAATTTTGGTGCTCAATTCATGAACACTTTACTTCCACATAGAGATAATAATAGTAATAGGAAAATATATGAATAACTTTTTATAAATATGGTAAAAGTGATTGAATCTTGGGTCAATCAATGTATTTTTAAATACTCTACAATATAGTTATCATAGTTTAATAGTTAAACAAAAGTCTTCAAACAAAAAAGTTGAGAAAATGTCATTTCCCACAATTTTTGGTTTTTAAAATACCAATAATTTCGAAATTTATTATCGAATTAGGTTCAAAAATAGGTCAATCGAAGCATTTTCTGAAGCTCTACAAGTCGGTAACGATAATTTTAAGATTACTTCTACATTTTTCAACAAAATTTTCAAAAAAGTCTTATTTTCCAAAATTTTGAATTTTTAAAAGTTTAATATCTCCGGTCAATATGGACGAAAAATGTTCAATTAGGGCTCAAAAGATGCGTCTTAAAAAAACTCTACAAAATAATGGAAAAACATTTATAGGTGTCCTAACATTTTTTTAAAGTTATGGGCAAAAAACGTTTTTTTGCAAAATTAAAAATCCAAAAAAAATGTAGTTAAACTTTATTAATCTATCTCAAAGTACTCTCATTTTATGTCCGCAGGTGAGATCTACAATTTAAAAAAAATGCGACCCAAAAGCTCTTCGTAATTTCGAGATATTTATGAAAATGTGATGTTTACACACACACACATACGGAATGACATTTTTTAAAAATGTCATTTTTGAACTCCTGAGGTCAAATAACATAAAGATATGTCAAAAAATCGAATTCGAAAAATTTCGGTATTACAATACTTCCTCTATGAGGAAGTAATTTAAAAAAAACATCTTCTTGACATTTTTTTGTAAATTTAATATTAGGTCATGTTATTCAGTGGTCACGTGCCCCATCGTAAAGTAGAGTTTTTCCAAAAGTTTGGAATCAATCCGCTTATAAACAAAGAATTTACAAAGAAAATAGAAAAATTATATTTTTCACCATAGTGCAGTAGCAGACATGACATCACATAGCATAGGAGATTTTTCATGAGTGTCCTAATTATATATAAGTCTCTCGTTCCCAAAATAGGCGAAAAAGTAATAAAAATTTTTATTTATTGAATCTATTATATAATAATGATCTCTACATTTTGTATCTGACTTTTATTATTAAACCTGAACGCTTTATGCGTGATAACCATATTAAGTTAAATGTTTTCATTATATTAAAAGAAAATAATGAATATACACTACCGTCCAAAAGTATCAGGACGATTACATTCGACTCTATGAAAAAACATGCCATCACTTTTTCAATCATATCTCGAAAATAAAAGGAGGTACAAAAAACTTAAATACGGTTAGAAAGCTGATTAAATTCTGCTTAAAATAAGCCGTATTTGAAGTCATTTCGTTAATTATTTTTTAAGTTGTAGAGTGAGAAAGAAATAAAAACATTATCAAATTTTCTCATTTTTGTCTCTTGACTTCAACTTTTTCAAAAATCTAGAAAAATTTAGATAAAATTTTTCTAAAAACACAGAAATCTTCGTTAGAATTTCAGCGCCTGAAAAGACTTTCATTCACTTGCTCAATTTTGCCATGAAAATTTGGAAAAATATCAGGGTTGCCACGCTTTTGCTCTTTTCAAATTCCCTGACTTTTCTTTCTTCATGTTTTATAATCATTAAAACTTGCTACTTTGTTTATTGTAACTTCTTCAAAAATTATTTTCATTATTACGAGTATTCATTTCTAGAATTTTCAACTAAAATTGAATGGTTGGGCACAATAAGGGGACGTACGCGCCGCTACACGCTATAACGCCAGTCGAACGGTAAAAATTCTGGAAAAATTTGAAATTGGAAATTTTGATTTTTTAAAAACAGTATCTTCGGTAAATATTATTGAAATTACTTGTAATTTGGCATACAAACGCATTTGGGCCCACACAAGGCGACAACATAATTAAAAATTAAAAAAAAATGAATTGTTTATTAATTTTTAATTGTTTATAGAGATCCGTCAATAATCACGTTTTCTTATCATTGCCGTCAAAAAGTCTGTGGGGAAGTTAAGAGTTGAGCAAACTTCCAGTGAGACATTTGTTTATTACTATTTGAGGAAGTTTGCTGTAAAGTTACAGAAAGATTCCTTAAATATTTATTGAAATATTTTAATTTTAAGAGAAAGGGCAGCGCGCAGTGAACCTTCGTTACGTACAGACTCAAGTGATATTTGTTTACTGGCTCAATAAAACATGGTTTATTTCTCAGGAAATTAGTTTTTTAAAGATTTTAATTTCGTAAAAAATATTTATTTAATAGTTTGTAAAAATAGTTTTATTGACATTTCACTATTTGTAATTCTTATCCACTTTAGCAGAAACGAAAAACGTACATTAATATTTGTAATATACATTGCTGAATACGCTTGTAAGCATATTTTATAATACTTAATTTTAGTTAGGTTAATAAAATAAATAATAATGAATACAAATATTATATAACGTTAATTTATTTAAAATTAAATGTAATTTAAATAAATAATTATTTCCTTTTATTTTTCAACTGTTTATCGCTAAATCATATTCAAGAGTGTGCAAAAGTTTGTAAATAATTTCAATGATCAAAATATGAAATAGTTTGTAAATAAACGATATACTAACAAAAGTTATTATAAATTTATTGCAAAACAATATATTTATATTCTGTAGTTAAATACAGTTTGTATTATTTCTCAATATATAAACATTTTCAACTAACAAATTTTTTATTATTAATTAAATATTAATTAGACATATAATTTTAACATAATTTATTTATAAAATTATATTATTTATTAGTAAGATTTTCTGAGAAAAAAACCATGTTTTATTGAGCCAGTGAACAAATATCACTTGAGACTGCACGTAGACGAAGATTCACTGCGCGCCGCCCTTTCTCTTAAAATTAAAATATTTCAATAAATAATTAAGGAATCTTTCTGTAACTTTACAGAAAACTTCCTCAAATAGCAATAAACAAATGTCTCACTGGAAGTTTGCTCAAGTCTTAACTTCCCCACAGACTTTTTGACGGCAAAGATAAGAAAACGTGATTATTGACGGATCTCTATAAACAATTAAAAATTAATAAACAATTCATTTTTTTTGAAATTTTTAATTATGTTGTCGCCTTGTGTGGACCCAAATGCGTTTGTATGCCAAATTACAAGTAATTTCAATAATATTTACCGAAGATACAACGAGTTATGTTTAAAAATTAAAATTAAAAAGTTAATTTATTTAAACAAATTTTATTTTTTAATTAAAATTTTGATCATTTATCTAAAGTACAATTCTTCAGGTAAACTCTCCTCCAATTTTTATTAAAATCGGTTCATCCGATCGCGAGTAATTAGCTATTTACTAAAACGCTACAAATTACTTTGACCTTGAATAACTATGGTAAATATTCGAATTTCGGAAAACTATTTACAAGTTTTTATTATGCCATCATAGGCTATCGAAACATATAAGAATGAGAAAAATCCACCGACCCAATGAAAAGTAGGGGCCCACTTCAGGAATTCTTACCCTTTTCAGGCAATTTTAGAATCTAAAGGCTCAATTGTGCGTTTAGATGTAAAAATTGATTATTTATAGTAATAATGAAAGTAAAAATTAAATTACTTAGGTATAGACTTGAAAAAAATACGTGTAAATGTTAAATTCTTTTTTTTTCTAATGAAAATTTTCTTGTTATATCAAGAGTATCAGTGTTTGTTATAAGAAGTGATCGTTCTATCAAGATTCGTTACAACGAGTTTTCAGTATAGAATATAAAATTGATGTTAAATTGATGATAAAATTATGTGTACTCCATCCTAAGAAATGTATAAGCAGGAAAGGAAAAAATATTTACTATATGATATTTACAGGCATTGCTGCAACTGTACATCCTAGCGGTAAAGCAATTGATAAAGTTTTGGGCTTACCTATTTCTCTCCTCAATAATTTATCTTCATATCTAAAAGTTCAGCCTAAAGAAAGACTGATGCATTTGAAAAATTAAAATTAAGTTTTTGGTGGTAAAACTTTTATCTTGGGAGAAGATACAGTGGAACCTCGATTATCCGAACCTCTGTTATCCGAACCCTCTATTATCCGAACCAAAAATCATTTTATCCGAACTTCTGTTATCCGGACTTTTTCTTGACCTTCCGAATCTTAACATTTATTTTCTCTATTTTTTTATCATTCCTATTGTCGCGGGACATTTTTAGCATCTTTCAAAGCAAAATAACGAAATTTATGTCAAAAAAAATCTTAAATAATCATGAATTCTCTGTTTTATTAATGTATTATTATAAATTAATATATATTTACACATACAATATACTTATATATCTTTAAAAAATGTATTAAATTAAATATATATAGTTCAACTGTCCAATTTTTTTACTTTAATTATGAAAATCATTAAAACCTCTATTATCCGAACTTTCGATTATCCGAACCTGGCCTTACCTAGGTTAGTTCGGATAATCGAGGTTCCACTGTATTATATAAAATTTACCGATTAAAGAATGTCGTACAAAGTTAGAAATCCTCAATTCTTAAATGAAAATTATTAAACTTTTTGACATTGCCCAGAAAATTCAAATGTGAATACTTTTGGACATTGACCGTAATATATATAATACACAGAAAGAAAATTTATTTTAAAATTCAATGAATACCAGGATATATTTGAACATTAATTGCATTAAATTTAAAACAATTATTATTTCTATGTCAAAATTCGGATTTGGAAATAAGCAAATATATGTGTCCTGGCGCGATGAAAGGGACCTTACAGCCAAAAAAATTTAATTTTGAATTTTTAATACCATTGGATAGACTTTGAGCTGCTTTTTCACATACAAAAGCCAAAAATTGATGGATCACGCCCTCAATTAGTTTTACTTATATATTTTTTTAAAATTGACAATCAAAGACGATCAATTTGAAGTGTTTTACATGCAAGAAAAAGGCAATTCAGAAAATCAGCCCCTTATAAACTATACACATACGATTATTTTGCTTCGTGTAATATGGACAAATTTAAATGTGTGAATATTAGTGAGCAGAATTTTAACAGAGCTTCTCCACCAATCAGAAAGAGTCAACTTCTAATACAGTTTCTGTATAATTCACTTTTTGGACCGGAAAGTCCCTTTCACCGCGTCAGGACACTTTATTAATATCTTCCAAAACATTATGCAGAAATGTTGGATCACATAATCATATTCTAATTCATAATATAAATTTGCAACAGAGCACATGAAGCCTCCTCAAATTTTCTTTTACAATAAACAACAGCATGAAAGAGTTAGACAGTTAGACAGTTAGACAGTCATTAGAAAATAGTGTGATCCAACATTTCTGCATAATTTTTGAAAGACATTAATAAATGGGTGGTTCTCGTGAAAAGTATCAATTGCGAGTTTACGATATTTTGTTAAAAATTAATAAAATTATGCCATACATCGTTTGGTTGACAGAATTTTAAACAAAAACACCTTCACTTTTATGATCTTTTAATATAAAAAGTCTTTCGGTGTAAAACCTTAAATTTTTCTGAAAAACGTATTTATACTACATTGAGTCAAAACGCGTCGACCGTAATTAATTTTTTTTTAGAATTTTAGACAAGTCAAAACATTTATGAAAATCTGTAGTTCACAACGATCCAAAAAAACACTTTTAACAGTTTTTCGAAATTTAAAATTTTTATACCCTTTTTTATAATAACAAATTTTTGCATTATTGAAGAAAAAAATTAATAACTCAAAACTGTTTTGCTAGAAATTAATGAGTATTTTTTTGATAGTCAGTGAATATCCACACTTTTAAATAAATTTAATTGTGAAAAAAAATTTTTTAAATTTTTAATAACAATTTTATAAACAATTAGTATTTTTTATGCTTTCTAGAGCAAGGATTTTAATAAAATTTATAGAATAAAATACCTTGGACTCTTATCTTTATATTCCCGAAAAAAATTTTTGTATGTTTCCAATGTACAACCGGAGATTTTGAATTTTTCGTTGCGCCGTGCACTGATTGCTCGTGCGCCGTGCATCGACCAACCGTTACAATTTACTGTTTAAAAATGTTTACAGCCTACAATTTTTATCCGATTTGAGTGTTCTTTGATTTAATGTAAAGGGGAATAATCAAAAGTTAACAAATTAATACAATTTTTTAAAAAAGGACGTTTATTTTCTTATTTCATTGCTACACATGATTTAAATCAGTTCAAATTAATCCAATATGACCACTAGACAATTAATAAAGCATAATATAATTTATTTTAATTGTTATAAATAATATTAGTTAACATAATTATTCTTAACTTTGGTTCTTCTCCATTAAAATTTTTTTTTATTTTCTTTTTAAATTAAGTTCATTTGAAGAATGTATGTTCTTTTTGTTTAAAAAATAATTTATTTAAATTATTATAAACAATATTAATCAACAAATAGTTGACAATTATTCCTCTCCACCAAAGAATTTTTTTTCTCGTTTACTTCTATAATTTAAGTTTATTTAAAGAGTATAAGAATATAAATATTTGTATTTATTTTAAATAGACTGTGAAAGTTTTTAATATTTGACAAAAATTTAAATATTTGTTAAAAATAAATTTTTATAATTCCGTTTTCTTAATTTGTTTTTAACAAATATTTAAATTTTTGTCAAATATTAAAAAATTTCACATCAGTCAGGATATTCAGACTACCAAAAAAATACTTATAAATTTCTAGCAAAACAGTTTTTCTCTGTAGCTCAATTGGTAGAGCATCCTACCGGCAATAGGAAGGTTCTGGGATCATACCCCAGCGGTGAGAGACGATTCATTTTTTTCAGAAACCATGCACAAAATTAAAAATATATTTTCAAATATTAATGAAGTATTAATTTTGAAATATTGATTTCTGTCTTATCGATGATAAGCGAAATAAATATATATCCGCTAAATTGACACCTTACCATCTTATAAAACAGTTTTGAGTTATTAATTTTTTTCTTAAATAATGCAAAAAGGCCGTAGCAGTATAAGCATGTAAAAAGTGCCCCCTCTTGGATTGGGTCCATATTTAGGGAATAATTTTGACCTATTATGAGACTTATTTTCACCAAGTTTCAACTCGAAAAAAAATTTTGTTTTTGAGTTATACAATTTTTTTTCGAGTTGAAACTTGGTGAAAATAAGTCTCATAATAGGTCAAAATTATTCCCTAAATATGGACCCAATCCAAGAGGGGGCACTTTTTACATGCTTATACTGCTACGGCCTTTGTTATTATAAAAAAAGGAAAAATTTAAAATTTCAAAAAACGGTTAAAAGTGTTTTTTTGGATCGTTGTGAACTACAGATTTTCATAAATGTTTTGACTTTTCCAATAATCTAAAAAAAATTTAATCACGGTTGACGCGTTTTGACTCCATTATTATCACTTACCTCTGTAAAAGTCGCATTTTTAGTTTTCCCTGAATTGGACGAGCAAATCTGTTGTGAATCATTGTGAGCTTTCACAGGCTCTAAAGGAGAAAAACCTAGATTAGCTGCAAATCTTGGAATATTTGGATTCCATCTTGGTCCAAACAACTAAAAATTTAATAACATTGATAAATATATGTTACATTTTCATCAATTAAGAAAAAGTTGTAATGTATAAGTAAAAAAAATTATTATTACAATGTTCCGAGAATCAATTCCTAAAGAACTAAGAAGAGCATTATTACTGGAGCTGTTTGACCATTGATAAGTGAGAGCATTAGTTTCTTCAACGCTCTTCAAATAATTCCAGATATCATCATCTTCGACAATCAGTGGTATTAAGTCAATGTTTTGAGCTTCGCCACTCAAAGGAAACATAATGGTAATTATATCTTCTATCTTGTTTGATGCCTGTCAATAAGTATTTAAATGGTATCGAATAATTAAAAAAAATTTTTAAATGAGGAATATTCGTAAAATTTACTTTACAATTCAATTTGTTATGAAGAGAAATTTTTAAAAAATAACTATTTACTATCATGAAAAAATTACAGCCATTTCTACAGATAAAAATTAAATTTAGATGTTTAATAATTATGGCGCTTCACGGTGGAAGGTATATATCAAAATTCTATTTCATGTTTGTAATCATTTTGCCTTAATTAGTGAAGCTTTTTTAATTTTATAAAATAAATACCTTGTGTTGAATATTTTCGATATAATAAGGATTTCAATAACATTAGTCAATCCATAACCTAAAAGAATTTTTTCAACCGTGGAACGTCAAAATTGCTATATTTTAAAATATGTAGACAAAACTAATACCAGGAATTGAAACTAAATTTATTAACTGAATGCCATAAACGTAATTGTAATATAAAAGAAAAAGCCAAACATTCTATGTACTTACGCTCTTATTTTCTATCCGAGAAATGGATTCTTTCAAATTTAATGAACTAGTTGATGAAACGGTGTTGGATTCAAAATCTCCAAAATCATCTTCTAGCCTATCAGGTAAGGATTCGTTATTTTCTTGAGAAGTATATTCCACCTGTGTGCTGGAGAAATCAGCAAAATCACCAAATTCTTGAACATCATCAGTTACTGTTTGATAATTTCCAAAGGCAGAATCTTCTTCGATCGGCACTTCCGATTGAGATTCAGTAAATTTCTCGTCACTGAAGCATTGCTCCTTCGATAAATAGTCTGCAAAATCGGAAAAGTCTTCAGAATTCAGGTTCATATTAGTAGAATTAACCGGAATGTGACTTGAATTGCACTCATTTACTAAGCTATTTGCCTCTATGAAAACTGAGTCCTGCAGACTATCTTCTACTCTCACACAATCTCTTTTTCGGTATTCGTCTACTTCATTCAATGGACCATCACAACAACTCTCTAGAGTTTGATTGACAGCATTTTCATTAATACTTTTTGATTGTTCCGTTTCCAGGGAACCGCTCAACTCCGGTTCGCTCTGCAAAACTAAATTCTGATCTTTGCTTTCTACAGAGGTAGAGTGACAGTTTGATTCTTGAATGACAGTGCTATCTAAGTAGGAGAAATCCTGTCGAATTTCCTCGAAAGTTGAGTTTTCTGAGGAAATTATTAAGGCGGAAAGAGTTTTCTTAAGCTTATCTTCATCTTGAATAGTTTTATGACATTCAGCAACGAATTCGGTACTTGCAAAAGTATTATCATCTTGATGATTCCCTGTCTTTTCATTGTCATTGTCATTTTCCAGAGAGTTTTTATAGGATGTGTAGTCGTAAAAGTCATCCTCCAAATTTTGTTGCAAGTCCGGGATACTAGCAGGATCATCAAGAATTAAACTAAGTGGCTCTTGATCTTCATGACTGCTGAGAGTCTCTTCTTCCTCCCGTTGACTGACAGTTTTGACACTATCATCTAAACTACTATTATTACTACTAATCACTACATCGGTGGTAACAAAATCTCTTTCCTCTAACCCACTGCTAAGAGAAACGCAACAGAGAAACCTATCGCTATTTCTTTGGAGAGTTTGCGACTGTTCGCTTTCTGTTAAATCTAAATCGCTACACAAAACACGGCTGTTTCTCAAGGCATTGTCTTCTTTTAAACCACTATCTGTCCTATTATCTAAAGTAACATTGCTCACTGCGCTTTCCGTTTCCTCTACTATAAGAATGTCCTCATTTTTCAACGACTTGGAAGTAACTTGTTTCTTTGGAATTGCATTTTGGCAAGTGATGTTCCCAATTGTACCATTTACCTTGGGTGAAGCACAGACTGATGGTATTGGGGTCTCAATCGGAGTTACGATCTTCTGTGGCGAATCAGAGGCAATCGATAAATCTACAGCACAGATAACTGTAATTAGTCAACTGAATTGAAAAGAAATTTACAAAAAAAAACATTTACATTGTTTTCATACCACATGTTATGCAGCATAACAACATTTTATTTTATTTACTTCAAATCCACTTACAAATAAACAGTACTAGCCAGAAATGTCAGACCACTTAAAAAATTCGTATTAAAAACAGGCTTTCACTTTTTTGACGATATTTTGATTAAAAATTAATATTTTAACTTTTAGTTTAACTTAGATTCGAATTGTACCGAATAGATTTTACAATGATTCAAATTTAACATATTGAAATATCAAATCAATTTAAACTAATCAAGATTCAGCTCTTTTAGAGGAAATAATTTTTTTGACGTTGTCCCGATCTTATAATAATTTTACTCGAAAATTACCGTTAAAATAGTGTTTTGAAAAATACAAAAAATAACTCTTGAATAAGTTGTAATTTCAAAAAATATTGTAGTATTACAGAGCTATATTTTATGGCGGAATTAAATTGTGAATTTTAGTTATAAAATTATAACAGTAGTTTAATCTAAAATATAAGACTACTAAAATTTTAATCAATTTAAAATTTCTATTCTTGGGAAAACTAAAATTTTTGAACACTTACCTTTATACAAAAGTTTTATGAATAAAAACATATTGAATAATAGGTAATTGAATAACTTTTGAGAGAATAATCGAAATTTAATGAGACAAACACTAAACAAATCTGCGCTGTGGTTTCTTTAAGATTCCGCCAAAAAATTTGTGTAATAGAAAAATTTTTAAATAATACTTTAATATTTTTTCACTTTTCAGCGTAAACATTAGAAGTTTCTGCTGCGGTTTTTAAGTCAAGTCAAGTAGCAGAAACATTTAGCTAAAAATAAAACATCAAACAGAAAGTGTTAAACCAAAAGCAGAATTTCATGAGTGTAAGAGAGATAGTCCGATATTTCTAATCTTTTCACTCTCATGAAATTCTGCTTTCGGTTTTACGCTTTCTGCTTACTAATTGTATTGTATATCTCGTTTTATGCGAAATTTTAAAATATTTTTAATTGTTTATAAAAAAATACATTAGACTTATTTTTAACCAAAATATCGTCGAAAAAGTAGAAGCCTGTTTTTAATACGAATTTTTTAAGTCGACTGACAATTCTGTCAGGTACTGTAAAATAAAGAAAATGTATTAAAATTCCAATTTTAAAATAAATTATTGAATCATCATATCATAGCCTGAAGAAATAAACAAACCATCAAATCCACCAGTTGCGAAATCTCCAAATTCATCGTCATCCGATTCTCTAAAGTTATCCAAAGGTGGTGGAGTTGAACTGACCAAAGGATGAAAGGCCATCATAACATGCTTCCTAGGTGACATAAATGATTCAACATATATAACGATTAACTCAGGGCTCAAACCAGTTAAAGTATTTAATAATACGGACTTTACGGAACAAAAATAAAAAATTCCGGACCATTTACGGACCAATTGAGGCTCCGGATCTTAAAAGGGCACACGCGCGAACACACGGCAAATAATTTGGCCCCTGGAGATAAAATTTTAAAGTTGCTCAAAATGAATTTTAAATTATTGTTTCTTATACAGAATTTCAAGGCGAAACTTTTTTTTAATAAAAATTTTTTATATAATTTCTCGTTTTCACGTAAATTGAAAAAAACGTGATTTTTTAAGTTAAGAAATTTTAATGAATTTTTGACTTCAACTCGTGACTACTTCGTTAAATATTAATATTTTTCCACGAAATTTACACACAATATTCTTCAAACTATTCCAAGAGTGAAAAAATATTTGGAAATTTAAAAAAAAATTGTATGTCAAAGTAAATAATTATTTAAATAATTTTGTCGGAAAAATGATTCTCCTATTTTCAATTGAAAAAGTTGAGTGACGAATTTTCGTTTCCGGAAAACTTTCAGCGACAAAAATGTTCATTAATATGTTAGGAAGTTTTTTGGAAAATATCTTGCCATTTGATAATAAATTAAAGATAATAGAGCAATTTTAACATCGTCGCCCTCTGCTGTAAAATTGCGGCGTGGCGGCACACGTGTAGCATGGCCGCCATTACAAGACCAATGTATATATAGTTAGACATTGTTTACGTTTACAGCAGAGCGCGACAATGTTAAAATTGCTCTATTGTCTTTAATTTATTATCAAATGGCGAGATATTTTCCAAAAAACTTCCTAACATATTAATGAACATTTTTGTCGCTGAAAGTTTTCCGAAAACAAAAATTCGTCACTCAATTTTTTCAATTGAAAATAGGAGAATCATTTTTCCGACAAAATTATTTAAATAATTATTTACCTTGACATACAATTCTTTTTTAAATTTCCAAATATTGTTTCACTCTTGGAATAGTTTGAACAATATTGTGTGTAAATTTCGTGGAAAAATATTAATATTTAACGAAGTAGTCACGAGTTGAAGTCAAAAATTCATTAAAATTTCTTAACTCAAAAAATCACGTTTTTTCAATTTACGTGAAAACGAGAAATTATATAAAAAATTTTTATTAGAAAAAAAGTTTCGCCTTGAAATTCTGTACAAGAAACAATAATTTAAAATTCATTTTGAACAACTTCAAAATTTTATCTCCAGGGGCCAACTTATTTGCCGTGTGCTCGCGCGTGTGCCCTTTTAAGATCCGGAGCCTCAATTATTACTGACAAAAGTATAACCTGTCCGAGTCAAATAAGAGAACATTTTACTTGAAACTAGAAAATAGATTTTTCATAACTATAAAACATGAAGATATCGATCACTCCGAGTCTTCGACTCGAAGTAATCGCTTTCTTCATGTTTTATAATAATTAAAGATCACCGAATGTTAAAATCATTATTTTACAGAATTGTTAGTTAAAATTTTAATTTTCAAAGATTTTAATTTGAAACCTTTTCAAAATTTAATTATTTCTAAAAATTCACGCTATTGCTTTAAATGTTCAATAATTATCTAAAATTTTAACTGAAATTCATTTTTAAATCAATTTTTATTAAAAAATTCAAGGATAATTCAATTATTTAAATAAAAAAATTAATAACTTATTGAATAATTGAATATTTCTTTAAATTGAATTCTCATAAAAAATTTTATCAAAAAATTTTTAAGAATAATTAAATTTTCGAGGAATTCGATTAAAATTGCATTGAAAATAATTAAAATTCTGCAATTATTACTTATGAAAAATAATATAATTATTGCGAAAAAATTTGTAAAAAAATTTGCAAATCATTAAATTTATTTAAAGGTTTTTATAAAAAAATTTGATAATTGAATTTCTTCGAAGAATTTTATTATTTATGGAAATAATTGAATTTTATTAAAAATTTTCATAATCCTAATTAAATTCTTTTGAAAAATTTTTTTGAATTTCTTTAAAATAATGGAGTTTCTTTAATAATTTTAATTGAAAATTTTGAATTTTATATAAGCAATTTCTTTCAAGTTTTTACAATAATCGTGTTTCTTAATAATTGAAATTAAACATTTAATTGTGGAATTTTATTAAAATTTTTAGAAAATAATTTAATTCTTTCGGAAAATTTCATTAATTTATTGAATACAATCGAATTTTTTAATAATTGTATTGAAAATAATTGAATTTCTAAAAAGAATTTTATTATTTATGAAAAATAATTTAATTCTTACGATGAATTTTACTACGTTTATAAAAATAATTTAATTGTTTCCAAGGATTTATTAAAATTTAAGAAAATAATTGAATTATTTCGAAGGATGTTATTAAAATTTTTTTTAAAAATTAAATTTTTTCATGAAATGTTATTAAAATTGTATTATAAATAATTGAATTTTTGGGAAGAATTTTATTAAAATTTATGAAAATAATTGAATTTTGGAGAAGAATATTTTATTATGTATTTATAAAGAATAAAGATAATTGAAATTTTGATAAGAATTTAAAAAAATTTGCGACCATTATTGAATTTTTGCAAAGAATTTTATTACTTTTGAAAATAATTGAATTTTTGCAATTATTTGTAACTTTTTAAAAATTCTCCAAATTATATCGTTAAATTTACGAACTTTTATTGCTTTTTCAATAAAATTACGGACTTTACGGACCTTTTTTAAAAAACCAACATAAAATTTGAAAGATTAAGTATGTCCTGATAAGTAGGCGCAAGTTGCAGCTTCATAAAAATATTTAACTTTAAAATTTAATTTATAAAATTAAGTGGTTGCTAGTTTCAGCTTCATGAAATTTTAAGAGAAATATCAATTCTGGAGACCTTTCTTCTAAATATAGTATAATATAATGTAATGAATATGCAAATATAAAAGAATTTAAATTATTAAATTTAAGAATAAAAAGAATTAATTAATTAATTAATTTAATCTGGACAATATACATAACTTTTTTAAGAGGAGGTTACCGATCTCAATTGTGAAAAATACATAAAGTTGAAAAAAAAATTTTTTTCATAGGGGAGAGCGGGGATGAAAGTGCCGGGGGTAGGTTGTGCCGTTGCTTATATCTCGAAAACGAAAAAAGATTTTTTAAAAATTGAAATGAGAGATGTAATTTTGCGTCTGCGCACCTTTGGGAGACATTTTAATTTCGTTTGCTGCGCGAAATAAACAACTGTTAGTATCTTGGATCTTGGTGCTTTGACGCTATTTATGTATAAATTTTCAGGTGTGCAACTTATGGTCTATTTTTTAAATGGTTGAAGCTATCATGCTTTTTTTCACTAAAATGATTCATATTTAAATAGGAATCAAATACTATATTATACTTAACCGTTTAATCAACTGGTTTTTTCATATTCGATAAAAAGTGAAAAACTGCGCAATGGGGCTAATTGTGCCGCAGTCCACCTGCACGTGGAGATAAATTATTTTTTAAAATCCATAAAACTTATCAGAAACACTCTAAAATTTTTTTCAAAATCTTCTTAGTATTTTCAGGTACATTTTAAACAAAAAATTTTTTTATCGAACGTCTTAAGTTAAAAAAACTTAATTTGTTTATAAAAAATTATTATTTTTTTAGTATAAAATGGGAAAATTTTTTTGTGAACATATTATTCAATTGTAGAGAAGAAATCAAAACTATTCTTCTCTTGTCAAAAATTGAAAAGAAACAATATTCTCCTAATTATCTGATATTAAAAGTATACATTCAAAAAACAAAAAATTTTGAAAATTCGTAACTTAAAAATTTGGATTAAAACGTTAAAGATTATTTTAATCTATTCTAGTGTTGATTTACTCTGCATTTGAATTTATAATAAATAATATAATTTGCTGTAATTTAAACAAGTTAAGATTCTATGCGGCACAATTTGTCCCAGCGTCGACACAACCGACCCCGCAGCGAGGGTCGTTGGGACGCATCGCCGCGCTGCAAAAAATCACATTTTTATTGAAAACTATGAAAATTTTTTAAAAAGTATAAATAAATTCAAAAAGCCTTTTGGCCCGGAAGTGGACTTGGTATACATTTCTATATCATTTTACACACATACTCTTATCACCATTCATCTTATAACCTATTTATATGTTATTGTACTATTATTTTCTTTCATTTTGGCGAAATCGGCACTTTCAATCCCACTATCCCCTATACGGAAAAATTTTTGGAATTGCGCTTTTTTTTATTTAAATAATACATAATTATATAAACTTTTTACATATTTATATTAAAAAAAATTAAAAATGGCGACTGTAGCTTAACTACATACGGCACCGTATTCTTATATGCGCCGTACGTTCCACAGCCTCACCAGGTTATCCAAATCAAAAATTATTAATATATTATTAAAGTAGGATAAATTTAGGGGGCCTTATCGTTTTGCTTTTTTTAAAAAAAAATTTTTTAATATTTTTTCTGACCCATAAAGTAAAAAATAACAGCGTAAAAAAATGAGTTTTTTCTTTAAATAGCCGCCATTTTTCTAAAAAAACGTTTTTCAAAAAAAGAAAGACGATAAGGCCCTCTAAATTTATCCTAGTTTAATAATATATCAATAATTTTTGATTCGGATAACCTGGCGAGGCTGTGGAACGTACGGCGCATAAAAAAATATGGCGCGCAGGGTCTTCTATAAGTTAAGCTACAGCCGCCATATTTAATTTTCTTTTAATATAAATATGTAAAAAGTTTATATAATTATGTGCTATTTAAGTAAAAAAAACCGCAATTCAAAAAATATTTCCGTATATGAAAAAAAAATTCCCCAACTTCATGCCTTTTTCTCTATTGAGAACGGTAACCTCCCCTTAAAGTAAAAAACAAAATATTTTAAAAATATTGAAACCGAAACCTTTAGTCTTTACAATCAGTGAGAAATTAATGAAATTTTTATTCACAGTATTATTTTTATTTAAAAGTATTATTTCAAGTGAAACATTTGAAAACAGAATGCAGATTTAAGACTTCTCTTATCAATAATTTGTCATAAATATAATTTCAATAGGTACTTTTGTTTTAATTCTTCAACAATCAATCATGTGATTAATCAACAAACTACAATGTTTTTCATGGCTGATAAAAATCGTTATTAAAAAAAGTGGATTATTTATTTTTTTTATTCAAAACAAATTTATGTATATACAAGGTGTTTCAAATAATTTGATTTTTTAAAATAAATATTGAATATTTTTATATATAACAGTACTAACATTTATTTTTTGAAATTCACTTTATTCTTCTGCAGTTTTTTATTTTAAAAACACCCATTTCATATTTTAACAAATAACTAGCAACAATTCGCGCAGCTAAGGGACCATTCAAGTATTACGTAAACATTTATGGGGGAGAGGGGGTCTAGCTATTGCTTATTTCCATTAGAAAAAATAGCGCTAATGCATATAAAAAATCTTACGATGGGGGAGGGGGGTCTAAAAACCTGAAAAATATGCTTACGTAATACTTGAATGGCCCCTAACTTCTTACTACCTTTTTTAAATAAAATTAGCAATTTTAAAAATAATAGAATTTAAAAATTTTCTAATTTAAATTTTTGTTGAAAACATTAGAAAAATTCAATTTTGGAGAAATTACAAATAAATGCAAAAATTTAATTATTTAAAAAAAAAAAAAATTCTTCTTATAAAATTCAACTATGTTCAAAATTTGAAAAAAATTCTCGTAAAAATCCCAATTATCTTTATAAATAACAAAATCCTTCTCTAAAGCTCAATTATTTTCATAAATGTCAAAAAAATTCTTGTTCTAATTTCAATGATTTTCAATATCTATTTTAATAAAATTGTATGCAAACATTTAATTATTTTCATAAATAATAAAAATTTCATATAATTATTTTCATACATAATAAATTTGTTTAAGGAATTTAATTATTTTCATAAAAAATAATTTTAAATTCTAGAAAATAATACTTGAATTAAAATGATGAAAATAATTTTGATGATATTACAGTAACAATATTCTTATAATATAAAATAATGATTTTATCTCTCGGTCATCTTTAATTATTAGAAAACATGAAGAAATCGATCACTCAGAGTCGAAGACTCGGAGCAATCGATATCTTCATATTTTATAACAAATACTTTTATAAGTTGTTTAATTTAAAAAAGGTTTGAATTTGAAATTTTTGAATGTCTTGATTTCTGTGGAAAATCCTGTTCCAAAAATAAGATTAAAAATAGGAACTGTGCAAATATTTTTCTTCTTTTCCTAAAACAAAATAATAATTTTGTTAAAAAAATTGTGATTCATAAACAAAAATAATGCAAAATAAATAAATTTTCTATTTCTTAATCACAGTTGTTTAACAATTTTCTAACTTTGCTTAGAAGTAAAGAACAAAAACTTGCATAATTTTAATTTGACGAAACATAATATTTAACAAAATTTTAGTCTTTTAATGAAAAGAAGTGAAAAAAATCTGATGATTTCTATTTGTCATTACAATTTTGAATTAATTATAAAATAAAAATAATATAATATACAATCTATCTAAAGTTAACAAAAAACAAAAGTATAAACAAAAGACAACTTCAGAGTGTGAGGGACAGAAAAAGTGAATGAATGAAAGAATAAAAGAACATTAAAATTATAGTTAATAATTGAATAAAAGAAAGTCTAACAATTCGACAAATAAACAAAACAATAATGACTGAAAGAGAATTGAAAATAATACAGGTTACCTTTTTCAATTAATAAAAAAAGGTTTTGCAAGTGAAACAGCTGCTTATTAAAACTACATGTATAGATAAAACTTACATCTGATAATAATTTATATATGTGTACACATAGACTTAATGACTTCAGCAAAGTATGTCAAAGTAAAGAAGAAAAACATATTACACATCTAGATTATTGAGAACATTTGGGAAGAAAAATGAAATTATTTATTTGTTTAGGTTAGATTATAAAAGAATGCCCAAATGTTTCAGCTGATAACATGTGTCAAACATGCTTTAAATACGATAATGTCAGAAATACAATCTACTGATATTGTAAAAATTAATGCTTACTGATGCAGTTAACAATTCAGCCTCACTTTCCAAAAATATTCACAAATACGGTTTCTTACACATTTTTTACATTAAAAAATTGACGTTTTCAATCTTCCACATGTAATTTTAACTATGCTTTAAAAAATTAATTGCCTAATTTTTTTAACTTTCACATTTCGTAAATTGGAACAATATTCACAGCACTGGAAGTTTACGTAATTTGAATTCAATGACTATCACAATAAATAACAAAATGTTGACTGCGTCCAGAATGTCTTTGACAGGTAAATCATTTGTCAAGTCATGGATTAAAAATTGCCTTGCCTATGATCCAACTAAAGGTACGCTCACACACTTTTTTCTGCATCTCCTGTGCAGTCTTGATCATAGGCAGGAGGCGATTCTCCAATACCAATTTTCACATTGATGACAGACATGCAAAAGAAAATGACAGAAGCTGTCTGCGTCCCTTTCTTTCCAATCCGTATTTATTCTGCGTTGCCCTGAATGGTAGATTTTGACTTGCAGGCAACTGTTGCCAACTGTGACGACATTTAAATTCATTTAAATTTATTTTAGTTTTTTGTTGTTCTGACAATTGGCCAATTGACTATTAAGGTGCTTCTATACCTCCGGTGGATTGGTCAAGCAATCGGCTCGATGAATTTTCACGGTCGGAAAATGTACTTTCATGGCGGGTATTTTTGAATAAGTAAATGTTGAAAAGGTTTTTATTTGAAAATTTATTTAAAAAAATGATTTTATCATAGAAATTCTTTTGAAATTTATGTTAAAAAACATGTTTTATTTTAAAAGTTATCAAATTTTAATTCAAAATGTTTTAATTTTCCAAAGAAGTGTAAAAAGCCTAATGTTTTTGAAATGCTAGTACAGACGGTACAGACTGTTTGTTATGAATGTACATAACCTAGCGTTGTGTTGTCGTGCTTGTGATATTATATTCTAAATTTAATGATTTTATTATTATTATATTAAATTAAATAATAATGAACAGACAACACAACGCTAGTACATTCATAACAAACAGTCTGTACCGTCTGTACTAGCATTTCAAAAACATTAGGCTTTTTACACTTCTTTGGAAAATTAAAACATTTTAAATTAAAATTTGATAACTTTTAAAATAAAACATGTTTTTTAACATAAATTTCAAAAGAATTTCTATGATAAAATCATTTTTTTAAATAAATTTTCAAATAAAAACCTTTTCAACATTTACTTATTCAAAAATACCCGCCATGAAAGTACATTTTCCGACCGTGAAAATTCATCGAGCCGATTGCTTGACCAATCCACCGGAGGTATAGAAGCACCTTTAAGTTTTTCGATGTAATATACTCAAACTTTTAGGCCTAAACACAACTGCTTCTCGAACGCGAAGCATGAGTTAGAAAAAGACAGAGATATATTTGTGTCCTTTTCTAATCCATGCTGCGACCCGTTCGCGAACAACTTTTGCGAAGCTATTGTTATTATATTCGATATTTTGGTATTCGATTTATTAGTTTTTTGATGTTTTGGGCTTTGGATAGAAATCATGCTCCCGCACATCTGTAAAATTAGAGAGCATTCAAGGCGGTTCCAGAATAGGTGCAAAAGGCAAGGTGGAAGTACAAGTGCAAGTGCGATTCCTATACATTTAGCATTGGTTCGCACTTGCACTTGTACTTCCACCTTGCCTTTTGCACCTATTCTGGAACCGCCTTCAGACCTCTGTATGCAAAACTTACACTTATATTTCGTAATTTATTAATTTTGTGAATATACATTTATTCTCCATTATATTTCAATGATTTCAATTTTAATATTTTAAGGCCAACGCAGATTAGAATCTTTACCGGACGGCAATCGTAACCGTAAGCGTAAGAATGAGTTAGAGAAGGATAAAAAATATACCTATCCTTTTTTAACTCATTCTTAGGGTGGAGTCCCATGACAGCGTTTTGCGTTGCGTCGTAATGGGAGAGAAAAAGACGCAAATATACGTTTGCGGCATTCTCTCTTATTACAACGCAACGCAAAACGTTGCCATGGGACTTCAGCCTACGTTGTGCTGCCTCTACAAAGCTGTATCTACATAAGGAAAAAAAAGTGAGAAACGCGCGAAGCAAACGCGAAACGCGAGAAAAATACATGGCAATTTTTTGCGTTTCGCGTCTGCGTCACGCGTTTCTCACATTTTTTTCGTATTGTAAAGACAGCACAATACAGAAAAAAGTTGAGAAACGCGCGACGCAGACGCGAAACGCGAGAAATTGTCAAGGCCTTTCTCCAATAGGTTCCCAAAACTCTGCGTCTGCGTCGGTTGCTATAGCAACACATGCTAAAATCAACGCAACGCAGTCATTCGCAGACAAACGCAGAGTTTTTGGATCCTATTGGAGAAAGGCCTTCATGTATTTTTCTCGCGTTTCGCGTCTGCGTCGCGCGTTTCTCACTTTTTTTTCGCTATGTTGCTGATTCCACACTTAGGGTGGAGTCCCATGACAGCGTTTTGCGTTGCGTTTTGTAACTAGGCCATGAGTGCAAATAGAGCAAACATATATCTGTATCTCTCTCACACTCATTGCCTAGTTACAAATCGCAACGCAAAACGCTATCATGCTGATTCCACACTTACCCAGCGCTCCGCTTTTCCGTGGCGCTTTGCGTGAGATAGAAAAAGACAGAGACTATCTCTATCTTTTTCTGTCTCACGCGAAGCGCCACGGAAAAGCGGAGCGACTGGGAAAGTGTGGAATCAGCAGCATGTAGATACAGCTTTGGCCGCAGTCCCATGGCAGCGTTTTGCGTTGCGTCGTAATGGGAGAGAAAAAGACGCAAATATACGTTTGCTGCATTCTCTCCCATTACGACGCAACGCAAAACGCTGTCATGGGACTCCAGCCTTTGCGTCTGCGAATAACTGCGTTGCGTTGATTTTAGCAGCATATGTTGCCATAGCAACCGACGCAACGCAGAGTTTTGGGAACATATTGGAGAAAGGCCATTATATTATCTCTATGCTCCTAACCTAAACTGGCCTAAACGTAAATATGATATGTAAATGCGTAAATGGTAATGTAACATGTGCGGCACGACTTGGTTAAATAGAAATGACTTTATTTATTATAGGTAACAAATTTCCACAAAAATTTCATTTGTTACTTTCCGAGAAAGACACCAAATTGTATGAAGGAAAAATAAAGGTAAATGTAGTAATTAACATTATATTAAAATTATATTAAATCAACATACATGATACGCATTCCAGGTGAGGTGACCCGGGTAAAAATTTTTGTTACCTTGAATCAGGTGTAAAGTTGGCAAAGACTTTGGTTCTATTGGATACAATTTCTATCACCAATACTTCGTTGATTAACTATAGAAAGGTTCAAACTTTAACCTTTTGTATTAAATGGTATATTTCAAAAATATGTCTCGCTTCCCAGTGAAATGGACTTTAAGCGGCAAAAAATTATAGGTTTGTGTTTAGAAATGTTTTTCTTTGATTTAAGATTGTTTTCAATTATCTGAAGTATACAAAATTATAGTAACTATTTTATATACTAAATAATAAAAAGTGTTTATGATCTCAGGTAACTAAAAATGAATCTTATTATTTAAGTAAAAATATTCCCAAGAATAAGCTATGATTATTTTGCCTCGTAAAGTCCCTTTCGGCGGGAAGCGTCACATACAGTAATTTTAAAAAAAGGAAAAAATTAATATGTGCATTTTGTGGTTCTTTTTACTTGAAGAGAATTATTTCAACTTCTGAACGTAAAGAATAGTGTTTTATTTTTTAAACTGATTCTTATCAGTTATAAATTATAATATTATACAATATCATCTGCATTATTAGTTTTGTATGCAATTTTTCAAGTTCAAAAATTTATTTTTTAGAAAATTATAAGTATAAGCATTCAAACATTGACTTTAATTCCCAAAATTATCATGTTTTAATTTTATACACTGCATTTCATTCTTTTAAATGGTAAACATTTTTTATTATATTACCTAATAATATAAGAGTAAGAATTTTTAAAACGTGCCACCTAAAATTCAAAAAATTTATTTTTGGCCAAAATGTTGTTTTTTCTATAGTGCTTTACATAAAAAAACACTATGTCAAAGGATTTGCCAAAAAAAATTTTTTTTGTTATTGTTATAAGCAATTAAAGTTTTCAGACACTTTTTTTTAAAAAATTAATTAAATAGAAACTTGTTAACCGATTTTAATGATTCAAGAGGCATTCTTTTTTATTTGAGTCAAAGTTTTGAATAAAATTTTTTTCGTAAAAATATATTGAAATTTAATAAATAAACAAATTATTTATTTATAACAAATTAGCAAAAAACCATGTTCTCAATCGAATTTCAAAATGAAAAAAATAGTACTTATTCTCTGATTACCACTGAGTAATATTCCGTTGAGAAAAAAAATGGCACGGCTTGGACAACTGACTTATTTAAACATTGTTTATCCCGAGCAGAACGGGATTTGCATGTGACGTCACGCGCAGCGGTCCTTTGACGCGGAAATCTAAGAGAATATCAGAGGAATATCAAAAATAATATTAAAATAATGTTTAAGTATTTCTTATGGACGAAAAAAACTATAACAATTTAATTAATTGTTTAAACAATTAATTTTTGTTATTTTTTCATAAACAGTAGTTAGGGCTAGAAATTTCTAGTCTTTTCTCAATTTCTCAATTTTTCAATGAGTAAAACATCTACTAATGGTAAAGAATAAATTAATTAAACATTGTTTAAACAATAATTAATTGTTGTTATTTTTTTCATAAACGGTACTTAGGGCTAGAAATTTAAAGTTTTTTCTCAATTATGCAATTTTTCAGGCGTAAACATATATTAATCATTAAAACTAAAAATTACTTATTTATTAAATTGTTGAAACAATTAAATGTTGTTATTTTTTTCATAACTGCAATTAGAGTTAGAAATTACTTGTTCTTTTTCTATATTATGCATTTTTTGTAACGAAAGCACTTAAGTATAACAAAACTAAAAATTATCTAATTATTTAAACATTATTTAAACAATTTATTTTGTTAATTTTTCAATTAACTGTACTTAACTAGAAATTCCTTAGTTTTTCTCAATTTAAAATTTTTTTTATAATTCAAACACTTAATTATAATAGTAAAACTAAAAGAATGTTATTTAACCATTGATAAACAATTAATAATTTTTCAATTGATTATACATTTAGGGCATTTATAATTTTTCAGTTGATTATAAATTTAGAGCATTTATAATTTTTCGATTGATTATAAATTTAGGGCATCTATAATTTATAATCAATTATAAATTCCTGCATTTTTGCCAATAATGCAACTTTTTATAGTAAAAAAACTACATATATATATTTAATTTGTATTTATTTTTAAATAAATAATTTTTTATTTTTTATCAGTAGATTTTTTTTCATAAAAAATTGCACGATTGAAAAAACTAAATTTCTAACCCTAAGTACAGTTTATGAAAAAAATAACAACAATTAATTATTGTTTAAACAATGTTTAATTAATTAATTTTTTATTTTTTATCATTAGTTGATGTTTTACTCATTGAAAAATTGAGAAATTGAGAGAAGACTAGAAATTTCTAGCCCTAACTACTGTTTATGAAAAAATAACAAAAATTAATTGTTATAGTTTTTTTCGTCCATAAGAAATACTTAAACATTATTTTAATATTATTTTTGATATTCCTCTGATATTCTCTTAGATTTCCGCGTCAAAGGACCGCTGCGCGTGACGTCACATGCAAATCCCGTTCTGCTCGGGATAAACAATGTTTAAATAAGTCAGTTGTCCAAGCCGTGCCATTTTTTTTCTCAACGGAATATTACTCAGTGGTAATCAGAGAATAAGTACTATTTTTTTCATTTTGAAATTCGATTGAGAACATGGTTTTTTGCTAATTTGTTTATTTATTAAATTTCAATATTTTTTTACGAAAAAAAATTTATTCAAAACTTTGACTCAAATAAAAAAGAATGCCTCTTGAATCATTAAAATCGGTTAACAAGTTTCTATTTAATTAATTTTTTAAAAAAAAGTGTCTGAAAACTTTAATTGCTTATAACAATAACAAAAAAATTTTTTTTTGGCAAATCCTTTGACATAGTGTTTTTTTATGTAAAGCACTATAGAAAAAACAACATTTTGACCAAAAATAAATTTTTTGAATTTTAGGTGGCACGTTTCAAAAATTCTTACTCATAATTAAAACAGTGGTTTAACTTTTGAAATAAAATTGTTTAGTCTCTGAAAAAACGACTGTGCCGTTGAAAAAACATCTTAATTTTAATTAATTACTAATATGTGATAAAATCAATATTTTTACTATGAAAATAAAATTGTTTTTTCTAAACCCACATAAGATAGTGGCACCAGTGAAAGAACATTTACGGAAACTAAATGAAGTTTTATAAATGTAACATAATAATATGAGCAATTCCAAGCCAAGTGATCATAAGAATTTGCGATTAATTTGGCAATATTGAAAATACTTTCAGAATTTGTTCCTTTTCATACATGGAATAAAAGTGTATAAAAGTTTATTCAGAATTTGTTGAGTTACCTCTTACTCAAAATTTTGGTCGCTTTTTCAAAAAAGGCACACAACTTTTTTTCTTGTTAACCGATTAAGATAATTTTTTTTTTGGAAAATACTCATGATAAGAAGTACTTTAAAGAAAAAAATATAGGTTTTAAAAAAAACATTTTTTTTGACTGAAAAAAATGTTTTCGATTTGAACATTTTTTTTTTGTAAATATTGTCAATAAAGTAAAGAATACTTCCTGTAAATTTAATTATGGGACAACAATAACTTTACGAGAAAAAAAATAAAATGTCCAGCGCGGCGTGCCGGAACTCGTGCAGTATTCGCTTATGGCGACGCAAGTTTCGTTTCAAATCACTCATCTACAGGTCACAATTCTTTACTAAAACGCTTTTTCTTTTTTCTAAATCTTCGTAATTAAATTCTCTATTGATCTCTCGAGTCTTATTTTTGAATTTTTGTTTTTAAACATTTTTTTAAATAACAATAAGTATTAAAAAAAATCATAAAATCGTAAAATATATTTTTTAGCTGTTTTGATTAAAAAAATTAATTTAAAATACAATTAAAATAATTTTTGATTGTTAAAAAATAATAAATTAATTAATTAAACACTGTTTAAGGGGTTACGTACACTTAGGATTTTCAAAAAATCGATTTTTTTAAAATGCATTTTCTAAAAGTGTACCATTTCAAAAGTATTCTCTGAAAATCTGAGACAAATCGGACTATTATTTATGGAGATATAGAATTTTGAATGGAGCCGTCTCAGCCGTTACTGTGGCCAGGCGGCGGTATTCAAAACTTTGAACTCGTTTTTCTCAAAACCATGTTTTGGGAGTCGGTGATCACTGTAACTTGAGAACGGCTTTACCGATCGGTTTGAAATTTTTACCACTTATTTGTTATATAATTGGCCGGTACTTGAATGAAGGATTTTTTTTTGACAATTACTTTCTATTTTATAGCCGAAAATGTGAGTAAAATTTTTGTCAAAATACAATTTTTGACTTTCAACATCCGCCATTTTGCGAAAAATCAAAATTTCTCAAATTCCTTCGTCCAAGTACCGCATAATATCATTAACTTACGATTCCTTCTTTACGATTTGAATTTAGATGATCCAGTCAAGAGATAGCGTGATCACCGCAAAGCCATTTTTATTTAAGAAGTTCACGCAAATGTTGTATCATTCACATGTTTCTTTATATTTACCTACTATAATTTCAGAATATTTTCTTGAAAAATATATATTTCATGTGGAAAAAGATTTGTTATTAAGTATTTTAATGTGTGGCCACAAAAAATTCTTAAAAAAACAGCTTTTTTTGAAGCTCTAACTGTACGTAACCCCTTAAGGGAAAAAAATTTAATAGCTGTAAAAAGGTGCAAAACTGTCAAATGGGAATTGACTATATGTTATAAATGCTTGATAATAAATATTGCCTTAGAATATTTTACCAGAGTATTATTTTATATTAGGGTAAAAGTGGGTAATATCGCGGGTGTGGGTATTATCACTAGATAGGTCTTTTTTCTGCTTCTAGAGTAGAAAATTGAAAATAAGATTTTTAAATTATTTTTTTAATGTTCGATTGATTGTCTTCCAGTAGCACATCTGGGAAACAATACTACCGAAATATTTGTGTTTAAGCATATGAATCATATATATGGTATATTCATATATCATATATATAGGGTGTCTAGCGTCCGGGAAAACCGGGAATTTGCCGGGAATTTAGTTTGACCGGGAAAAACCCGGGAAAATGCCGGGAATTTACAAAAACATCCGGGAATTTTCAAAAAGTTCACCTAAAGTCGTTAAAATACACGGAAAATTTCAATTTAAGTAATTAATTTTAAAATTTTTTTTTAAAAATTAACGTGAATTTATAACTAATTGTCTTCAAAATACGATCTATGTACTTCGAGTGTACTATCGGAACGATTACTTTCAGTTACGTATCCTGAACTTGTTATTATTTATGGTGCTGTTGTACTAAGAGCGTGTTTAAATTTTGAGCTGCTGCGTGAACCTTAGTTTTGTATTGTCGAAAAATTTGCTCGATGTGTTTTATTTATTAATGAAATTTATTATCTAGAAAGGTAAGTACGGTTTTTTAATTTTTTATTATACTTCATAAATTAGAAATACCAATAAATATTGAACTTTATTTTATCAATTTTTATACTATTCGTGTATTTTTTTGAAGTGTTAACTGTTTATTTTTCAAGTGGTAAATTTTTATTTGAATAGTATATAGAATCTTTTAATCGTCGCCTTTTTGAATTTTCTGTTTATTATAAACAATGAATATATTAATATTTAAATAATTTCTTTTTTCTTAAAAAAGATCATTTACGAACATATTATCATATGTACCATATTTGACTTCACGATTAGATATTTAATAATATTAATAATTTTTCTATTTGTCTCTCGTTATTATGTAGGATTATTAGCAGGAATTTTCAAATGAGTCCAAATACTATTAGTCACATTTCGTATTCTGCTCTTAAGTATATGTCAAAAAAATTTTAAAATTGATACAATGGGTCGCACTGCATTAATCAGCCATGCTGCAGGAAAAAAGCACGTGCAGGCACAGAAAATTCGCCAACAAACGCTGCCAATATCAAAATTATTATCACAATCCACAGTTGCAGGCGAAAACATAAGCAGTTTACCTATTCAATTATCTTCACCTTCAGAAACCGTCGGTAAGTCTTTATTTATAAACGAAATTTAAAATTTGTTTATTTTACAAAGTTTCAAATACTTTTCTTATTTATTTTGATTCTTTTAGAACAAATTTTAATTTAAATATTAATAATATTAAGTATTAATAATAATATTAATCTTTACTTTTATTTATTTAACTTAAATTGTTAAATTATAGGAAAGAAATTTATTTATTAATTTATTTTATTTAAATTAAATTGTTAAAGTTGTATATACTAAAATGTTTATAATGTGTCTTAAAAGTTATTAGTTTTTATTGAAATCATTTTTCTTTATTGTAAAACTCTATTTATTCGAAAGTTTATTCCACAAATATGTATTAAATTAGTACTCTAACAGGGTGGCCACATGTTCAGGGATATGCCAGGTAAACAAATTTTTTGTCAGTAAAGTCAGGGAAATTTCAGTAAAAAAAATTTTGTCAGGGAAATTAAGAAAATTTAGACTTTTTCAACTTGTTTTCAAAAATTGCGACTTTTTCGACTTTTCTTCCCAACATTGCAACAAAATATAATAATTTTTAGTAAAAAAGTGCAACTTCTTTTGATTATAATTACTTATGAGAAAAATAATTATAAACAAATCTTTCAAAAATTGTTTCGAAACACTTTTTAACATAATTTTGTTGAATTTTGTAAAAATTAATTGAAAATAATTTATTTATTTAGAACTTTTAAAAATCTATTTTTGAAGAATTTTAATTGGAAATTTCGAAAATAAATAAAATATCAAAAATTTTGTTGAAAAACCTTTAAAGCTAAATTTTAAAATAACAATTAATGAAAATTAGTTTCTAATTTTTTAAAATTCAATATTTTCAGTATTTTGAATTAAATATTTTCAAAAATTCAAATACATACAAATATAATAATATTTTAGAATTATTTTTAACATTTTGGAGAAAACCATTATGTTCAAAATTTTTAATTAAAATTGATCAAAAAATTAATTAGTTTCTTTAAATTATACAAAAGTTTTTTTAAGAAATTTAATTATTTTCAAAAAATTACGTTAAAATATTTTTAAAAACTAATTATTAAAATTGTTTATAATTCTTCAAAAATTTGATCATTTTTATTTATATTTTTCAAAAATTCAATTGAGGGGCTGGATGCTATAAGGTTTTACGCGCCATGTTAAGTGAATGGCGCGAAATACATTATTGCATCCAGTCCCTCAATTATTTAAAATAAAAACTTTTATCAAATTTTAAATGTTTAAAATTTTTTTAAAATTAAAAAACTATTATCTTTTAAAATTATTTAAAAATAACTTAAGAAAAAACTATATAGAAATGTCAGGAAACTTCAGGGAAATTGATAAACTGAAACTTGTGACAACCCTGTCTAACAATCATTACTAATTTTTCAAAATTATTATTTATTACAAATAATTGTACTTTTTAGAGGAAAAATCAGCGAAAGGGGTACCGAGCATCCTGGAACAAGCTTCAAACGAGAGTTTTCGCAATACTTCTAAAAATCAAGGATCAGAAGCTATAATGAAAAAGTTTCTAATCAAGGAACATGTCACGGAAGCAGAAATTATGATATGTCTTTATTCTGTTATTCACCATAGTTCTCTGCGAAGCATTGGCGATTTAGTAACTCTTTTCTCTATAATTTTCCCAGATAGCGAAATATCAAAAGGAATGAAGTTGCAAAAAGATAAGGTGAAATATACTGTCGTATATGGCCTTGCACCTTATTTTAAAAAGAAACTAGAATCAAAAATCAATCAATGTTTACATGTAGTCGTCGGATTCGATGAATGCTTGAATAAAATTGCGCAGCGTCAACAAATGGACCTATCTATAAGATTTTGGTGTGATGAAAAAAATAAAGTTATTACGAAATATTTCGATTCAGTATTCTTAGGCCATACACGCGCTAAGGATCTTCTCCAAGGATTAAAAGCTGCTGTGCAGGAAAGTAACATATCTAAAATAATTCAAATTGGAATGGACGGTCCGAACGTTAATTTTAAAATGATTAACGATTTAGATTTAGAATTGAAAGAATTTTCAAGTGATAATCCTTTGCCATTGAAAACGGGTAGCTGTGGTCTTCATTCGACTCATGGAGCATTGAAGGCTGGAATAAAAGCTTCTAATTGGAAACTATTAGAGCTGTTTCGTGCATTATACAACTTTTTTAAAGATTGTCCTGCTCGACGACAAGATTACTCAAAAATAACGGAATCTTTCGATTTTCCCTTAAAATTTTGCGATGTACGTTGGGTTGAGAATGGAAAAGTGTGTGACAGAGTTCTTAAAATGTTAGTTCCTTTAAGGAAATATATTAACTTTATAGAAGATATAAAGAAAGAACAAGAGAAAAAACAGCAGAAAAACGACAGAAGAAAGAGAAGAGGGAAAGAAGACTCGAAGAAGAAGGACACGAAACAATATGGAAGCAGTCACTTTTAAATATTCTGGGGAATAAAAATTTCATGACTATTGCTGCTGCTATAAAAGACCAACTCCTTGGACCCAAATTAGCATTTTTTAGTTTTTTGACAACGCAAATGGAACCTTTCCTTACAGCTTTTCAGACTGATAGTCCTATGATCCCATTTCTCTTTAATGAATTAAGCGGATTATTTAAAAATATAGCATCTTCCATTATCAAATCTGAAGCACTAGAAGAGTGTACATTTACAAAATTAGATTTGACTAATAAAGACATTTTTATAAATGTAAAAAATATTGATTTAGGTTTCGCGACAAGAAATGTTCTTAAGATTACTGAAAATTTGAATGACTTGGACAACCTGATTTTTCGTAAAGATTGCAAAAACATTTTATTAAGTATTCTTAAAAAAATGAAAGAGAGGTCTCCTCTAAATTATCCAATTATCAAGTACGTTTCATGTCTAGATCCGAAATTTGTATATGAACATCCCAATAGTGCATGCCGAAGACTAACAAATTGTTTGGATGTTCTGATTGAGAATAAATGGATTTCCACTACTATGGCTGAGAATGTGAAAACTGAATTCAAAGCTCTCTCCACTTCATCTCGTCTTCGAGAAGATTTTAAAGCTTTTAAAAAAAGTGAATGTCGTTTGGATTCATTTTGGGTTGAAGTATTACAAGCTCACACTCCTTCTTCAAATTTATTCTCATTTGTAAAAATGATATTGATTCTTTCGCATGGCAATGCAGCTTTGGAAAGAGGTTTTTCGGTTAATAAAGAATGTTTAGTTGAAAATCTTAAAGAAAAAAGTTTAGTTGCTCAACGGATTGTCTATGATTCTGTAGATAATTTGCAATCCTTTGTCGTTGACAAAAGTATGGTTCACGCAGTTCGTAATGCACACAGCTTATACAGAGAAGATTTGAATAGAAAAGCTGAAGAATTAAAAGAACATAATAAAATGAAGGAAACCAAGAAGGAAGCTGCTAAAAAATTAAAAGAAATTACAGCTCAAAAGTCTCAATTATTATATGACACAAATAATCAAACCATTTATTTAAACGAAAAAATAAAAGAATTAAATGCAGTCATTAATAATTGAACAAAAAGTTACAAATTTTATTGTCTAATTTAAATACTTTTATATTTTTATTTATGTTTTTATTTCTTATACAATTGTTGTATAAACTTTTAATATCTGAAAGTTTAAAATTCGAAATATAAAATTAAATCGTAATGTTATCAATTTAATAGTTAATAAAACAAATTATATTATCTTTTTTAAATAAAAAAGGCGTATATTGACTTGTTAAAACCTATCATCTTACTATTCCTTATTAACCTATTTATATTTTAATAATATCGTTATCAATGTTTAAAAAAATAAATCCGGGAATATTTTGGTTTTCGGTCCGGGAAATCCGGGAATTTGCCGGGAATTTGAAAATCATAATTCGCTAGACACCCTGATATGTGACGCTCCACGGTGAAAACGCAGTATAATAGCTTAATTTTCAGGACGGACGTTTAAAGAAGAAATGTGGACAGGCGCACGCTCAACGTTCTGATTTTATGAGTATTATATATCAAAAAATAGTTAACGTAATTAAATTCTGTTTTTTGGAAATTAAAGAGTGACTTAACCCTTTAAGGACCAAATGTACAAAAATTTTATCCGAACTTTGGGAGCATTTTTTAGTATGAAAACGGATTGCTAAAAATTTTGCAATAGACATTTCTTAAAGCTCAGGAACCGCTCTTTCGAATGCTGCAATAACAAATATTGAAAATTTATAAATAAACAAATTACATACAGTTATTTAAAAAAAACACAATTTTTTAAAGATTTTTTTTTGAAAATCAAATTTTTTTTATTATTTATGGCGAAGGAATACGTCTCAAAGGTAAAAATATCGCGTCAAAAATGTCTATCCTAAAATGTTGTAAAATAAAAATTAGAATAAAACAAAATGGCGGATCAAAAATGGCGTTCAAAGTTGACTTTTTAATAAATAATATACAGCAAGTGCACATTTTTTTAAAAACCTCACAGATTCGCTTGAAACTGGTTACTCGGGGGTTTTTGGGGTCGCTGATTACAAATATGATAATAGTTTTTAAAAATTCAAAATGGCGAATCCAATATGGCGGACACTTTTTTCAAAATTTCATCGGATTCGCTTAAAACTGGTTACTCGGGGGTTTTTAAGATCGCTGATTACGAATATGATAATAGTTTTCATAAATTCAAAATGGCGAATCCAATATGGCGGACATTTTTTAAAACTTCATCGGATTCGCTTGAAACTGGTTACTCGGGGGTTCTTGGGGTCTCTAATTACGAATATGATAGTAGTTTTCAAAAATTCAAAATGGCTAATTCAAAATGGCGGATACTTTTTCTAAAAGTTCATCGGATTCACTTGAAACTGATTAGGAGGGGTTCTTGGGGTCTCTGATTATGAATATGATAGTAGATTTAAAAAAATAAAATCTCGGAGCATGTACATTATGCAGGTTAGAAATTATAAAAATTTAAACCCTTTTTTGCTTTCAAATAATTTGTGTAAAATATAATAGTAATATTAAACTTAATAATAATATTACTAATAGTAACTGTTCTTTGTTATTATCGAGTTTTGTCTGTCTTTGAAGCTTCATAATTAAAGATTAATTATGTTTAAGGGGCAAATTTTATCGAGTGTACCAAAGTCAAAATTGCAAGTTGTTGGATCGGACTAATATTTTCACAGTAGTTAGTAATATGTATGACTAATTAACCACCAAGTAATATATACCTATATTTTTTGGTATAAATTTTTTTTTGATTTTTCTTTCAAGAAGGACCCTTTTTTTCTTTTTCTTGTACCAAAAAAAGCTTAAGATGTGTACTTTCAATATCTAAAACGAAAAAATGACGCTTTTTTCGAATTATTAAATAATTAATTAATAAAAATTGAAATATTTTACAACAAAATAAAGTTAACGCAATTCTGAAGTTACTACTGTAAAACATTACAAAAATTAATGTATATGCTCCGAAATTTTTATTTTTTGTAAACTACTATCATATTCGTAATTAGAGATCCCAAGAACCCCCGAGTAACCAGTTTCAAGCGAATCCGATGAAATTTTGAAAAAATGTCCGCCATATTGGATTCGCCATTTTGAATTTTTAAAAACTATTATCATATTCGTCATCAGCGACCCCAAAAACCCCCGAGTAACCAGTTTCAAGCGAATCCGATGAAATTTTGAAAAAAGTGTCCGCCATATTGGATTCGCCATTTTGAATTTTTAAAAACTATTATCATATTTGTAATCAGCGACCCCAAAAACCCCCGAGTAACCAGTTTCAAGCGAATCTGTGAGGTTTTTAAAAAAATGTGCACTTGCTGTATATTATTTATTAAAAAGTCAACTTTGAACGCCATTTTTGATCCGCCATTTTGTTTTATTCTAATTTTTATTTTACAACATTTTAGGTTAGACATTTTTGTCGCGATATTTTTACCTTTGAGACGTATTCCTTCGCCATAAATAATAAAAAAAATTTGATTTTCAAAAAAAAATCTTTAAAAAATTGTGTTTTTTTTAAATAACTGTATGTAATTTGTTTATTTATAAATTTTCAATATTTGTTATTGCAGCATTCGAAAGAGCGGTTCCTGAGCTTTAAGAAATGTCTATTGCAAAATTTTTAGCAATCCGTTTTCATACTAAAAATTGCTCCCAAAGTTCGGATAAAATTTTTGTACATTTGGTCCTTAAAGGGTTAAAAACTACTCTTTGACATAAAAAAATACAAATCGATTTTTGTATGTATTTTTGTATGTGACCGTGAAGCGTCACATATATATAAATCTAATAAATTTTAAACACGTTTTAAGCAATGTAAAGACAAAAGTTGAAATGCAATAGCAGGTACTATATAACCAGTCGAAGTTGGGTTCGACAGTTATTAACTGCAATAAGAGTAAAATAAGAAAAATACGAATATTTAGTGAAATCCCTATGAAAATTATGAATGCGTTTACGTACACTTTTTCTTTAACCTTTATTCACTGACATGTCACTAGAACTGTACAGCGAAGCGCATTTAAAATTATCACAGGGATTTTACTAAATATTCGTATTTTTCTTATTTTCCTCTTATTGCAGATATTTTCATATTTTTTTAATGTATATTTATCTATTTCTTTTAGTTCTGAACAATATCAATACTTTTTTACTCAGAACTCTTAAGGAAATGTTATTGAGTAGCCACGTATTGACATATGTGGACGTCCACATGAAAAGGGCCCATTTTGGAACTATTGGACTTATCTACATGGGCTAATTTCTTACAAAATTTGGAAAATTTTGAGTGGTCATAGAACTTTTTTGGTGAAAAATTCGATGAGTTACAGAATTTCTAAGTTTAGAACGCCAAAACCTCATTTCGAGAAAAACGAAATTAAAGATTGTGATACTAATTGATGGTGATATCTCTGGTTCTTCTGGGAAGTTTTTCAGATAAGAATTGTTTCCAGCCCAGGGCACCTTAAAGATGAAAAACCAGTAGGTTTAAAATTTTTAAAACTAACCCCCCACCCCCCTTCCATTTTGAAAAATACGAAAATTCGACAAAATTGGCCCTTTTCTAAAAAGGAGGTTTTTTTAATTATAAACCATTTTTTACAAGGTTAACGATTGGGTATAATTCTATTGCGGTCATTTGAAGAAAAAGAATAGAAATCAAGATTCGCGGTAGAGAATCGCCGCCAAGTAAAAAGCAAAAACCGCGAATATATATTCTCGAAATATCGGCTGTTTTTCGATAAAAGTGAATAACTGGAGTAATTCTTAACCGATTTGGCTCATTCTTTTTTCGTTGTATAAAGAATCAAAAAAGAAAGAATTCTGTTAAGTTTATTCAATATTTTATATAGTTTTATAGAATTTAGGCTAGGAAAACCGGAAAAATAGCGATTTTTTGAGATTTAGACAAACGTGGAGCGTAAACTCCTAAATGGATTTCTGAAATATTCTAGAATATTATTATTATTTCTAATTGTTAATAAATATTTTCAGTTTATGAAGAGGACAGCTGAGCTGTCGAAACGTTAAAAAGTTGTTTTTTTATTTTTTTGACTTGGAAGATTGATAAATTCCTTTTATTTCGAATTATTATTAATTAGGTTAAAATCTCGATATACATTTCAGGAAATTTTAATTCACTTCGTATTTTTTGAAAAATTTTGATTTTTCTCAAAAAAGTTGAATTTTTTGACATTTAGACAAACGCGGAGAGGAAACTTCTAAACGGATATATAAAATATTCCAGAATGTTATTGATTGGGTTGAAATCTTGATATATATTAAAGGAAATTTTAATTCATTTCGTATTTTTTGAAAAATTTTGATTTTTCTCAAAAAAATTGAATTTTTTGACATTTAGACAAACGCAGAGATTAAACTACTTAACAGATTTGTAAAATATTTTAAAATATTATTATAGATTGAAAGCTTGAAAATTATTTTAAAAACTTTTTTGTTTTTATGTTATTTTTAGA